CTAACGGCAGCGAATATCGTCCGGGAATCCCACGAGGCCGCACCAGCTCGCGTCAAAAGCCTTGTCCAGCGCATCCAGGCGCATGCCAAGTCGGACTTCGAGATGCGCTATGCGGACGATCTCGAACGCAGCGCCCACGCTCTGAAGGGCCACCTCGAGCTATCGCCGGTTGCTCCCCAAAGCCTCGACCAGGTCAAGCAGGCGCTGCAGAGGCACTCTTCCCAGTGCCGCTCATACAGGGACGCGCTGTATGCCGCCCTCGAGGCTGCCTTTTTCGGCCTAGGTGGTCGAAGCACTACCCTACTGCCGCGCATTTGTCCAGCCTTCTTCTTGTCACAGCTTGCAACCTCCCGCTTAAAAACGATTCCTACCTCCTGGAGGCCTGCTCTCATTCGATACGGACTGGCATATCAAGACGCGCAGCGTGCCGAGCGGCTGCTGGCACTGGCATCTCAAAGCAGCCTAGCTGACCTCGCCAAGGAGCTGGGAAACACGGCGCACCAGAATTGGACGCCTTATGAGTACCCGTTTGTCCTGCTCATGGAGGTCGAGAGCAATATCACCATTCGCAAGGTCCAGATCGACATCGCTCGGCAGATGATCAGCCCTCCGGATGGCCGGAACTCTGTCATGCAGCTGAACATGGGAGAGGGCAAGTCGACTGTCATTGTTCCCACCGTCGCCGCTGCCCTAGCCAACGGTGACCACCTGGTCCGCGTCGTCACGGCCAAGGCGCAAGCTCCTCAGATGCGTCAGATGCTGCTTTCCAAACTCGGCGGGCTCCTCGACATCAAGATCCACCAGCTTCCGTTCTCTCGCACGCTACGGCTAAATGCCGCACAGGTGTCCTTTATCGCGCGAGATCTGCAGGCATGCCGGGAAGAAGGCGGAGTTTTGCTGGTGCAGCCCGAGCACCTGCTCTCCTTCAAGCTCATGGGCCTCGAGTTCCTCATCAACGGCAAGACCTCGATCGGTCAAGAACTGATCAAAACTCAGCGCCTACTTGAGTTCACGTCAAGGGACATTGTGGACGAGAGCGACGAGAACTTCAGCGTCAAGTTCGAGCTTGTTTACACTATGGGTACCCAAAGGCCCATCGACTTCAGTCCCGACAGGTGGCATCTTCTTTTAAATGTCCTGACTTTTCTTAAGGATGTGGCCTTGGCCATCGCCCAGGAAATGCCTAGATCCTTCGCGATTAACGACCAACATGGCTCTGGGTCCTTCCCCCGCCTCCGTATATTCGACCAAGAGGCTCAGAATTGCCTTGTCCATGCTATCGCCAAGCGAATTTGTGAGACCGGACTTCCTGGACTGCCCATTGCTAGGCAGGGCGATGACTCACGGTCAGTAATGATTCAACTGCCCTTTCCTGTTCTTTTATTTTTTTGCCCCTTCCCATCCCCCCTCTTCTTCTCCCCCTCCTTCCCCTTTCCTTTCTTTAAGTCCCTCCTTATTTTCTTCTCTCCACCCCATTCCATATATACACCCACCCTCCGGGTTGTCTAACAAGCCCTCGGTATTTCTGCCTATTTTCCCCACATCCCCTAAATTTACTTCGAACACAGAGAATGATGTTGGACTTACACCCTCATGACACAGTGCGGCACTCCTCACGTACCTGACGAAACAAGACTTGACTCCCGAGGAAATTGCGGCCGTTGAGACTCCTGGAGCACGCAGTTTCTGGAGCGAGTCGACCAAGCGCTCACTGCTTCTCCTTCGCGGTCTCCTTGCTGGCGGAGTTCTCGGCTTCGTCTTCTCGAAGCGATGGAGGGTCAGCTACGGCTTCGACCAAAGCCGCAACCCGCCGACACGGCTCGCTGTTCCCTACCGGGCCAAGGACTGCCCTTCGGCGCGCTCAGAATTTTCACATCCTGAAGTCGTAATGCTTTTGACCGCGCTGAGCTCATATTACGGCGGCCTCTCCAACGACGACTTATTCCTTGCATTCACCCACCTTTTAAAGTCGGACCAGCCCGAACAGGATTACGATGAGTGGGTTAGAGACGCAAACTCTATGCCCCCTTCCTTCCAGCACCTCGACGGAGTCAACATCAAAGATCGTGGACAGTGTACCCAGCAAATCTTCCCTCGTCTGCGGTATTCCAAGGGCGCGATCGATTTCTTCCTAAGTCGAGTCGTCTATCCAAAGTTCATGAAGGAGTTTCCTTCCAAGCTGAGTTCCGTAAGTACCACTGTCCTGGCCGCGATCATCCTTTCCCGCCTGCTAACTGAGCATAATTAGAGCGGATGGGACCTCGGAGAGGAAAAGGTTCACCCAACCACCGGCTTTTCGGGCACAAACGACTCCCGGGAACTCCTCCCACTGTCAGTCGATCATCTCGATCTGCCCGACCAGAAGCACACCAACGGCCTCGTTCTTAAGTATCTACTGCAAGATGAGAACGGCGTGACCTCGATTCCGCCGCGCCAAGGCTCGCCGGCGTTAGATGCCGACTTACTCCTCAGTTTGGTGGTGAATATGCAGGATGATGAGGTCCGGGTCATCTTGGACGTTGGGGCACAGATTCTCGAGTTGGGAAACGCCGAAGTTGCCCAGAAGTGGCTGAAAATGGAGTCTGAGATCAACTCCTACCGTGGCATAAAGGCGTGCGTTTTCGTCAACGACAAAGACGAGCTGCAAGTTGTGGACCTCAAAGGCCACACCGAGCCGCTCTTAATTTCGCCCTTTTATCGTCAGCTCGACGTGTGCCTTGTTTTCCTTGACGAGGCGCACACCCGAGGCACGGATCTTAAGCTTCCCGACAACTATCGAGCTGCCTTAACCCTCGGAGCCGGCCTTACCAAAGACAGGCTGACACAGGCAGCCATGCGAATGCGGAAACTTGGAAAAGGCCAGTCCATCACTTTCTGTGTCCCGCAGGAGATCGAGACCAAGATCCTCCAGCGTGCCGGCAAAAACTCGATCGAGGTCATGGATGTCCTCGAGTGGTCCATCCATGAGACGTTTGCTGACATCCAGCGGAGCATCCCCCTGTGGGCGGTCCAAGGGCGGAGGTACGCCCACCAAAAGAGCATTTACTCCCAAGCGGGCAGTGGCCTGATTACCCAGGACCTGGCAAACAAGCTCCTCGAAGACGAGGCCCAGGCAATTGACGATCTCTACCGGCCAGGCGAGCGCATCGCCAAACCATGCTGTCCAGAGGCCGGCCAGCACCCGGGCGTGGACCGCATCATGGACTGCTGCGCAAAGTTCGGCTCCGTAAGCCTGGGATCTGCCGCGCTGCACGAGGAACAGGAGCGAGAGCTTTCGCCCGAGATCGAACAGGAGCGGCACGTTGAGAAGCCCAAGCCCGCCGAGCCGGCGCCCCACAGGATCGACGCGGCAATGCTGCACTTTGTTCGGACTGGCGATATCCCTGCCCCTTCGGCGTCGCACTGTTTCCCCTCCGCTTGGAACTCTCTCGCCCGCACAACCGCTGCCGCCGCCATCCGCTTGCGTGTCAACGAGTTCCCCTGCGACGTCCGGGCCACTCGCGACTTCGCCACCACGATCCAGGAGTCGGGCGGCTCGGCCCTCGGCGCCAAAAGCCAGCTCGACCAGTACCAGCGGGCGGTGCGATGGATCCTGACCAGCACCCACGGCGACCCCTCTGGCGCGGTGCGCACCATGGTCATCATCAGCCCCTTCGAGGCCCAGGCCCTGCTGGAGGAGATCGCCGCGCGCCGAAAGGTGACTCTGCACCTGTACGCGCCTCGCTCGACAATGGGCTTCGCCCCGCTCGATCACCTGCTCTTGCACGCCCGCCCGACGCCGCCTCCGACCTGGACGTGCCCGCTCAAGCTCAAGGCACAGCTCAACGCCTTTTCCGGGCAGCTCTTTATTTCATCCTATAACGAGTACAAGGCCATCTGCGAGACGTTCGGGCTCGATTGGGCGGGCGGCCTAGGCGACGGGGTCTTTGTCCATGCCGATGGGTTCATCGACCCGGCTTCCAGGGAGGTAAACGGAACCGACAGCAAGGAGGTGTGCGCGTTCACGCAGAGTCCTGTCCCATTCGTAAGTGACAGCTTCGGCTTCCTAGATACCACCTTTATCCTGTGCTGATACAGAATGGCTAACCCCGGAATCATCATCACAGCTCAAGATTCTCATGACCAAGATTCGCCGTGACTGCGAGAGTATCGACAAGTCACACATTGGCATGATGCTAAACGGCATCGTTCTCCTGGAGAAGGCCTTCAAGACACCCGACCCTCCCTCTGTTGAGGAGCTGTGAGCAGATCCTCGGAACAACACAATCTCTCCACCAAGCGAGACCCGCAGGGTTGTCTAAGACTAGGTACTTCCCACCCTGATATCGAAGGATGTCTTTTCCTTTCTTTATCACGTTAGCACATCCCCGCTTGTCTCCATCTGTATGGCCACCAACTCAACAACCCATGCTTCGCCCCTCTTCTCTTTTATGTTATGGATAGTATCAGGAAGGAGTTTCTCCGCTAGGATCCCTGGAAGAGAGATACAGGACAGCTGGCTCGCGTCCGTGGTGGCCAATCGAATGCAAACAGAAGTGGCGAAGGTGGCCACGCTTGAGCAGCCGAAGGTACATACGAGTACTTCGGCCCTCCAGCGTCCGAGGAGACACCCGTGATGTATGGCCCGCGACACTGTTCGCGCCGAATCCAGCCGAAATTTGGTCCTCACAGCACTTGGAGAAACTAGACCAAGCGAGGATGCTGGGGTAGCCGCCGTGGCTGCTGCACGGTAATGGGTTTGCATTTTGGCTGGCGACGATTGGCCAAGCTATTCCACTCTGCATCCAGGTGTGCAGGAGCAAGTTTGCGATCGCCCCACGATTTGTTCCGTACCGTTCTGCCCCTTATCTTATCAGCCTGCGGCCGCCAGCTGCACCAAGCGAATTGGCGGGGCTCCGGGCTGTCGAGGCAGGCAGAGAGATCCTGGCGGTCGCAGTGCAGTCAAGACGATGGCATTGAAGGGAATTGACTTGGGTCGATTCCCTGCAGCTGGACCGGCCGGCCTGCCGACCCGGAAAAGTTCTGTGCCGTGCCTGGCGGTCTTTCAGGCGGTTAACCACTCGGCCCGCATGGCCAGGCGGACGGTGAGTTTCGTAGCCGCCATAAAGCTTTGCGGAGATTATGGTTCGGGCAGTTCAGGGTGCGTTCGCAAGTCTGGGAGCCAGCGGCCTCTTTTGCAACCTGGCCGGCCATTTCGTGGAATTGTACGTGCCATCCAAGGTGCCGGAGTTGGTCGAGCGCCTGGAGCTCCTGGACCAGGATGTACTGTACTGAGGGGCACTTGGGATTCCTGGGTCAACTCGCCGTGAAAACGTCGACAGCCAAAAGCGGCTTTTGGGGGTGGGTTGGCTACGATACTAATCCAGATAATGAAATGGGTTGCAACTGATTTAACGACGATCATTTAGGCTGAGAACGCCGAGTGTGGCGTAGCAGAGGCCGGGTTTGCTTGAAAAGTCGAGGCTAAAAAGAGAAGTATTACCCCACCTTTCAGCAGCCAAAATTCGCCTTTCGCACCCCACCATCAACCAAACGGGTGACCCAGGGACCCATGAGCAGGAAATGGCAGACCCAAAAAACCTGAAAAACTGGAAGTGGCTTTCTTGATAGCTAGAAACGGGGGAGGCGCACGCGACCAGTTATTGAGCCAATAAGAATCAATTTATGACGTCCACTTGAACAGGTGGAATTCCACCTGTTGATGTGGGTATTCCTCAGGCCCGCTTCTCCGCCAGGATTCGCTTCTGCTATCGGTGCCTCAGGCATAAACTCTCCGTACCCTACACCTGGCGATCCTCCGCACACAAGTGGGCAGTTGCTGTGCACCGCCCACTACCATCATCATCATCAGCTTCCTCGCTCCCTCTCAGCCATGGCTCGGCGCAACATGGGTCCCGTTGATACAATTCCAGCGGGCGATCTCGGCGACGACTTCCTCGTGTTAAGC